CTCTATCCTCTCTCTCTCCTTCTTCCTCTCTCTCTCTCTCTCTCTCTATCTCTCTCTCTCTCTCTCTCTCTCTCTCTCTCTCTCTCTCTCTTCTCTCTCTCTCTCTCTCTTCTCTCTCTCTCTCTCTATCTCTCTCTCTCTTCTCTCTCTCTCCTCTCTCCTCTCTCTCTCTTCTTCTCTCTCTCTCTCTCTCTCTCTCTCTCTCTCTCTCTCCTCCTCTCTCTCTTTCTCTCTCTTTCTCTCCTCCTCTCTCTCTCTCTTCTCTCTCTCCTCTCTCTCTCTCTCTCTCTCTCTCTCTCTCTCTCTCTCTCTCTCTCTCTCTCCTCTCTCTCTCTCTCTCTCTCTCTCTCTCTCTCTCTCTCTCTCTCTCTCTCTCTCCTCTCTCTCTCTCTCTCTCTCTCTCTCTCTCTCTCTCTCTCTCTCTCTCTCTCTCTCTCTCTCTCTCTCTCTCTCTCTCTCTCTCTCTCTCTCTCTCTCTCTCTCTCTCTCTCTCTTTATACACATTTAGCAGAAGACTTCAACAGCACGGGGCGTCATTCACTTAAACCAGAAGTGGCCTTCAAACATTTCTATTCACTGATGTGTTTAATTGCACGTTACTACTTAGGAAACACCTTGCACTGTTTCGTCCGAGTTGCAGACAGAAACCTGAACCCTGTTGTGTTTGGCGACGGATATAGCAGCAAGTGACAAATGTGCCGAAGCATTTCCCAGACAAAGGAGCACCAGAGACCGCCTGGGGTTTTCCGTGCACTTCTTTGGAGCCGCTGAATGCGTGGCTCGGAGTGGCTTACAGCCAGCTTTTGCTCAGTTTGACGTAGGTGAGACGTAGAGCCCCAGAAATTATTGCGATTGTTATTTACATATTACGATATCTCTGACTATTGAAAATGGACGCGAATTCACAAATTGTACGCCGCTGACTTCGTTAACCCTCATGAAGGGTATTTTGCACTAATATTCGATGCGACTTACCTTGTTCGGTGTCTGACACGAGGTCTCCGGAGCCTCACTTCGCCTGGCCAGCTGGCATGTTCGGTGTTTGAGATACTGATGACGGGGTCTGAGAGGCCTCCCGATTCGGTGAAGCTGGAAAACCCCCGGCAGGCCTGGGGTTAAATGGAACCCGAAATGGAGCCTTATATGAATGTTTAAACGTAGCCTAAAATGGTTAAGTAGAATCCAAGACGGCTTGCATCCTTGTGCTGAAGGCCTCTGCATAAGCTGTGCCGTTTTCTCTTCTCAGTCACTGATTGCCCTGCAGCCCGACAATTTTTGCAGACGCCTTGCAGGTTGGCACCTTGAGTTCCACTTCAGTGGAGGGGAACCCCCATGGCTCAGCCTGATTCGCCCCGACGGCTGTGGGTGACCCACAGGCGGCGCGTGCGCCGCGCTCACCACTGCGCAAGCTGTAGGTGGGCATGTCTACGCGACCATGCATAACCACAGCCCCGTCCATATATGCCAGCGTGTCAATAAGAGGCAGTGCCGGAACAGCCGCCGCTGAGTGAGGGTTTGACCAGCAGAGCGCGCTCTGTGGCCGTTCAAACACATCACAAGTCTGACTATCGCAGCGCAAGTGACTAGGGAGCAGTTCGGCAAACCTCACGTCATTGAACCCGACGGGTGCTATAACAGCTCAAACGGACCAGAAGCCCTTGCTAAACAGCTCTCCTATTGGAAGCCGACAGCAGTGTCTCGTGGAGCTGTCACGGCCCGCGGCGTGGCGTCGCTAGCGTGGCCTACTTTGACCACACTCGGAGCCGCTCCCTCCCGGGTGACGCCACACCGGTCTCTCCACAATCCACATCCTTCACGGACCAGCGCAGCACTTCCGCGACAACGAACCCCAGCCAATTAGCGCACGTTGCCGGCGCCGTGGAAACGCGTCCCACCCCACTCACCCAATGACATATATTCGCTCGAGTGGGTGCCACCGCCGGAGGCAGGTGACGAAGACGCCCCGGGCCGCCGCCGCCGCCACCACCGTCGCCGCAGAGCCGTCAGCTGGTCAGCGATGCGGCGGCGGACAGGACGCCTACGTCGACGCGCCACCCCTCCCAACGCGTCGTTTCCGTCGCGGCGCAAGCAGCCAGCCGTCGGGCGAGAGGGGGAGGGGGGACGGGGTGACGTGCCGGCCCAGGCGGTCGCACTGCTGACCCATTTGGCGGCGGTCCAGGCGGCGGCCGGCGACCTGTCCGTCCGGGCCTGTCGGCACGATCCACATCACCGGGCGGCCGCGGCGGCGCCCAGCACGTCGCTGCGCGGCGCCGCGCCGCCGCGGGGGCTGTCTGATTCACGCTGGCACAGATCGCCCGGCCGGTGACCGGCTTCTCGGGTCACGTGACGACACCCCGGGTCACGTGACGACAACTCGGGGCGGCGGCGTGTGGACAGCGTCCCCCGGCGGCCCGGAGTCCGGTGTGTCCGGCCGACTCTGGACTCTCCGGGTCGCGGCGCCTGCGCAGGAGGCATCGGAAAGCGAAATTCCACCGGCGAAAGGACTTCCGGTGCCGGGTTGGGACGCTCGCGCGGCCGCTGCCGGGTTGTATTCGGTGAAGTAGCACCGGACCTGAACTCTCTCCGTTTCTAGGTAGCCCTGCGTCATGGCCGCCTCAGATGGGTCGTCGGGAGAAACAGGTATTGGCGGAAGCTCCCGCAGAAAGTGGGTCGATGGGAAACGCCCGGCGGTGGGTGCGCCGGATCCCAGCTGATTATGCGGCGACTAACGGTGCTCAAACAGTGAGCGGGCTGAGCTGAGCTGAGCTCATGCTGAGCCGAAACCCGCCAGGTGCATCGTGTCACTTGGCGCCTTGAAACAGCTGTTTGTAACAAGTGACTATGGCCAGGGTAGATGGTTATGATCTTTTCGTGGAGTGGCGTCCCAGAGCACAAGTGTGCTCTTTGTCACGATTTTCGTACATATACACGTGGTTCCCCCGCTGCCGTCACACCGGTATTGGAGCGGGGTGAAGAGATGGCCGAGCCGAACCGTTTTAAGTGGATGTGATTGAAAACGCATTGGTGTTTGATTGTTGGCTACTTCTGGAACCAATGGAAGCAATGAAACATGTTCCATTCTACAAGTTGCTAGCGGTCTGCAAAGCCGTCGAACAGATACGGAAGTAATAAGCAGAGTTAGTACCATGGTGGATGAATATGTGAGAGGTGGCGAACAATTACAAC